ATACTTGACGATGACGATGGTGGTGAAGATGATGCTGGCACCTGCGGTGCAGAGAACTTGCAATAGGCTGGAGCCCAGGCTCGGTGCTTTGCATCCATGTACCTGTTTCATCCTGACCACAGCCAAAGAGGGAGGGACTGTTACTGATTCTGATGTCAAAATGCAGAAAGTGAAACTCACAGAGGTGGGTCGTGTGTTGAAGGCCCCCCAGCTCATAAGGGCAGAGGCTGGATTTCAGTGCACCACCGACTTCCATGCCAGTGTCTCTGGCCGCGATGTGCAGGTGCGCGCCGCTCGTCCTGTGTGCGTGCCTTGTCCGTCAGGCGGCCCTGGACCCAGGCTTGCTGCAGTGACGGGCATTTGTTCTCTGTCCCTGCTGCTGGGACTCGGGAAGCATCACTACTCACCGTCAGGAAAACCTGTTAAGAGCAATGACTCCTGGGAGCTGGAATCTGGGAGGGCCCCTCCCCCTCCCTCCCTGGGTTTTGGGATTTTCTACCGTGTGTGGTGGTGTCTGAGCGGCAGCGATGGCTGCGATGAGCAAAGCAGGACAGTAGACGGCGTCACGTTTGGACACAGCGGCTGTGAACCTCCTCAGCCCGCGGCTTGCCCCAGGCGGGCGTCCAGCTCGCACCGAAGTTCACAGCTGCTCAGACAGACCGTCAGTTCCGGCCTCCCTGGACTAGGGTGCCTGCTGTGGAATTTCCAGGCTCCCTGCAGTGCCGCAGGCGTGTTTCTTCTTGCTCCTGCCTTTTATTATTATTATTATTAGTGCATGAGTTGCACAGAAACTTGTTATAATGAATCATTTCGAGAGCGCAGAGTGTGGTGGAAATTCCACTTAAAATTGATGACTCTCTCCATGAACTTGGGTCACCATATCTGGTTACCTGTCTTAAGACAGCCTGAATGTGCACCACTGACTGAAATGGACTGAACTGTTTCTTAAAATTAAGAAGTAATTCCAGAGGTGGACTCCCACATCCTGCCCTGGAGTGCCTGGGTTGGAGCCCTGGCTTTCTTCCAATCTAGCTTACTGCTATTGCTCAACCTGACAGGCAGTGGGTAATGGCCCTAGTGCTTTGGTCCCTGACACTCATGTGAGAAACCCAAATTGAGTTCCTGGCTCCTGGCTTCAGCTTGACCCAGTCCTGGCTGCTGTGGCTATTTGGAGAGTGAACCATCATGGAAAGATAGCGCTCTCTCTCTCTCTCTTTCAAATAAATACAAATAAGTAAATAGAAATTCTAAAAATAGCACCAGCTATCATTTTTCAACTGTTTGCTGTGTGCCAGACATGGAACGTGGAGATTTGCCTGTGTGACCTCATTTAACCCTCACAAAAACCCTGTGAGAGATGGCTACCATAATCCCCATTTCACAGGTTGGAAAACCAAGGCTAAGAGAGACTAAGTAATTAACTATTTCATGTCTTGGAACACAACTGAGATTAGTGGCTTAAAACTGCACTGTTGTGTTATCTGGTGGATCTCTGGGTGGGCTGGGCTCAGCTGGGCGGTTCTTATTTGCAGGCTTTCAGATGGCCGCTGAACTAGACTTGTTGGGATGGCCAGCAGGACGCTAGGACACCCGAGTCTGTCTGTCTGTCTGTCTCTCTCTCTCTCCATATGGTCCTATGCCTTTCCCCATGGCCTCTCTGTGTTCACATGTTCTTTTCATAGAGCAGGCGAGATTTCATACATGGACTACCCAAGGGTCCCAACAGCACACAGGGAACCTTAGTGGTTGGGCTCAGAAATCCCAGAACATCACCTCCACCACACCCGAGTGGATGGGCGGTCCACAGAGCCAGTCCGTGTCCCACAGGAGGAGTCTCAGGAAGTAAAGTGCCTGGGGGCTGTTTTGGGAGACTTCCTTCTGCAGAGTGGGATTGACTGAGTCGGGACAGTTGGACTCCTGATGAGGGAGATGCAGGACAAGAAGCTGGGGCCGTGCTGTGGTGTAGCTGGTAAAACTGCTGCGTTTTCTTTGGGGCATTGGTTTGAGTACTGGCTGCTCCACTCCTGATCCAGCTCCCTGCTAATGTCTTGGGAAAGCAGCAGAAGATGGCCCAAGTGTTTGGGTCCCTGCACCCACATGGGAGACCTGGATAAAGCTCCTTGCTCCTGGCTTCAGCCTGACCCAGCCCTGGCCATTGCAGATAGAAGATCTCTCTCCCTCTCCCTCTCCCTCTCCCTCTCCCTCTCCCTCTCCCTCTCCCTCTCCCTCTCCCTCTCCCTCTCCCTCTCCCACTCCCTCTCCCTCTCCCAGTCCCCAGGGCAGAGTTAGACAGTGAGAGAGAGAGAGAGAGAGAGTGAGTTATGGACAGTGAGAGAGAGACAGAGAGAAAGGTCTTTCTTCCGTTGGTTCACTCCCCCAATGGTCACTACGGGCGGCGCTGCGCCAATCTGAAGCCAAGAGCTGGATTCCTGGTTTCCCATGGGGTGCAGGGCCCAAGCACTTGGGCCATCCTCCACTGCACTCCCTGGCCACAGCAGAGAGCTGGACTGGAAGAGGAGCAACTGGGACTAGAACCCGGGGTGCCAGTGCCGCAGGGGGAGGATTAGCCAAGTGAGCCATGGCGCCAGCCAATAAATAAACCTTTTTACAAATAATATTTTAGGGTTTAAAAATGTAATGTTGGGTTTAATGTAAACCTAAGGCAAAACAGACTAAGCAGGGTCCAGCGCTGTGGCGTGTTAGGCTAAGCTTCCACCTGTGGCACCAGCATCCCATATGGGTTCTGATTCTAGTCCCACTGCTCCTCTTCTGATCCAGCTCTCTGCTGTGGCCTGGGAAAGCAGTGGAAAATGGGCCAAGTCTTGGGCTGCTGCACCCATGCGGAAGACCCAGAAGAAGCTCCTGGCTCCTGGCTTCAGATCGGCCCAGCTCTGGCTGTTGCGGCCATTTGGGGAGTGAAAGAGCAGATGGAAGACCTCTCTCTGTGTCTCTTCCTCTGTCTGTAATTCTGCCTCAAATGAATCAATAAATAACCCTCAAAACAAAACAAAACAAAAAACCAGATTTAGCAAATAATCTTGAAAAAGAAGAACAAGATTGGAGAACTCACATTTCCTGATTTAAAAACTTTGCTACGAAGTTACAGTAATCTAAACAGTGTGATTTCTCAGAGGCCAGAATTAGTCAAGATAGCAGGTTTATGGTCAGCTGGTTTTTAGCAAGCATGTCAGAACAATGCAATCATTGTAATAAATGATACGCGAGTGATCAGAGAAACCACAAGCAAGAGAAGCGAGCCCTTTCCTTACACTGCTCACAGAGTGAATTACAGACCTAACCACAGAAGCTCAAACTACAAAACTCGTAGAAGAAAACACAACTCTACAGACCTCAGTTAGGCACAGCCTTCCTGGGCATCACACCAAAAACAAATGCACTTCACTTTATTTATTTTTTACAGATTTATTTATTTATTTATTTGAAAAGCAGAGTTAGAGGGAGAGAGAGAGATCGTCCATCCACAGGTTCACTCCTCGGATGGTCTCAACGGCAGGTGCTGGGCCAGGTCGACGCCAGGAGCTCCATCCCGTCTCCCACTAGGATGACGGGGCCCAAGCACTTGGGGCATCTGCTGCTGCTGGCCCAGGAGCATTAGCAGGGAGTGGGTTGGAAGTGGAGCAGCAGCATATGGAGGGCTAGCGGCTACACCTGCTGTGCCGCAACGCCAGCCCTGACTCCACTACTTTAAAAAGGAAAATAAAACGGCATCCCAAGTGCCCACTGCAAGATGAGCTCATCTTGGTATAGAAGCTTTTTGAAATCCATGCATGTGAGGGATCTTCAGAAAGTTCATGGGGAAATGTTCTGAAAAATGCATGTTATGGCCAGCGCCGCGGCTCACTAGGCTAATCCTCCACCTAGCGGCGCCGGCACACCGGGTTCTAGTCCCGGTCGGGGTGCCGGATTCTGTCCCGGTTGCCCCTCTTCCAGGCCAGCTCTCTGCTGTGGCCAGGGAGTGCAGTGGAGGATGGCCCAAGTGCTTGGGCCCTGCACCCCATGGGAGACCAGGAGAAGCACCTGGCTCCTGCCATCGGATCAGCGCGGTGCGCCGGCCGCGGCGGCCATTGGAGGGTGAACCAACGGCAAAGGAAGACCTTTCCCTCTGTCTCTCTCTCTCACTGTCCACTCTGCCTGTCAAAAAATAAAAAAAAATGCATGTTATGAATAAACCACACATGAAGGTCAAATTTATAATTAAAGTTGCGTATGCGTAAACCTTAGAGCCTCCTTCCCGGGGAGCCCAGCCCCACCCCGCGCAGCCTGAGAGCTCGGCTGTCACACGGTGAAATTCTCTCCGAGTCTGCGCTTTGCCCTGAGCCCTCCCAAAGGCAGTGCCCGTCCTGAGCCACTGACGTCTGCCCGGTGAGGTTGGGTCTGGAGTCACACTGGAAACCTCTTGGATCAAGGGGCAAACTTGGAAGGCAAACTCCTGGAGCCCTTGCCACACAGCGTGGCCAAGCTCCGCCTTGCCGGCTTAACCCCGTGCCCTGTGCCTCGGGTGCCAGTCCCCTGCAAGCAAGCCTAGCTGGCCATTTCAGTCTGGACAAAAGGCAAGGGACCCGCTTCTGAGGATGGAGCGGAATCGGCACTTTCACCACGGCCAGCGCTCCCGTTGGGTGCCCCTTAGGTCTCCCATGTGCCCCTGCAGAATGCCTGGTCTGCTTCCCTTCTCTTTTCCAGTGACTTTTCCTGAAACACCCCAACAGGAGAAAACAGCTCCCTCCAAACCCAGTGCTTTCCCGCCCCGACAGAGCTCTCCCTTCCTCCTTGCACTCCGGGAAGAACTCCTCTGGATAAGATTTACAGATTTATTTTCGGGTCACACTCTGCAACCTTGAAAGGGGAAGCAAACTTTGAAGCAAGGCTGTGCCTGAGCTTGTTTGTGACTCCCCTTTCTCTGGGTTCTTGGCGAGACCCCTGCGTGCGAGCCTGCCCCAAGCAGGGATAGTGGAGCCTTCACCCCCTGGGTCAGGCTCGTAACAGAGACACACGGAGACTTTTCTTTTGGAACCCATTTTTATTAAGATGAAACAACACAGGAGCAGCCCAGAAAAGCATGTTAGCTAAGAATAGAACTGAAAGCTGAGAGGAGTTATTTTCGGGGATTCCTATCAGGAAGATGTGTGGACTTTGGGGGCTGATAAGAATCCTTGTCTTCACTCCTCTCCTGGCGGCTGGGGAGCAGGGAATTTGGGTGGAGACAAGGGGGCAACTCGTAGGAGCCCTGAGCCCCAGAGAGGCTGTGCTCCCTCTTGTTTGCGTTTAACATGCGTCCATGTAATACAGCATCGTCTGGAGCGATCGCTCTCAGCCACTGTGCACAATGCTCCGCGTGGACTCATGTATTCATTCATAAAAAAAAAATCCATGCGTTAAGCACCTGCCGTGTACAGGTGCCCTTCTAGGAGGTTGTAACAGTAAGCAAAGTCCTTATGCTTCAGGGTTGCACGTTCGCCGAATCCACCCCGCCACCCTTTGGAATCAGAATTACTGTTTCCCTTGTCTGCCAAACCAGCAACCCGAAGCTGAAAGTGGTTAAAGAAGGGCTCCGAGAGCGCGTATGTGGGAAGTGGTTGTGCTGGGACGCAAGCGTCCACCCCTCTGACCCTACACCACAGCCCACAGCTCTTGTCGCAGGGCGCACAGCCCCCTGAGGAAGCAAGCAGGGGAGCAGCCTACGGGGGTCTCATCAGGCCAAAGAGCCTGGAAACGGCACACTGGGAAGTGCGGAAGCTTGCGTGCAGGAGCGGGAGCCGCTGCCACGCGTCCTGGCCGGACACCGGGGAGAAGGCTGGCGAGGACGCTGTCCCCCAGGTCCAGGGCAGGGGCAGCCTGCCTCACACAGTCTTCCAGTTTTAAGGACCCCAGGGACATATCAGGGAAATTAAAACCACGCGCAAAAGGAAACGACATGGTAAGAAAGAGCGGAGCCCTGCTCGGCCACCCCAGAAACGGCCGACCCACAAGAGCCGGCCGGCGACCCTGCAGGAAACAGGGACGCATTCTGAACTTAGTGAATCCCGCAGAGTGGACGGAGGGCTGGGCGATGTTGATCCACAGCCACAGAACAGCACGGCAGCGACTGCGCTGGCTTGGCGCCTCCCAGAAGCCAACCGGGATTTTTTCAAGCTCCCAGCTCCAGCCTGGGAAAACCAGGGCAGGTAAACATATCCCCTGCGCCTTCTTTAACATGCAAGGATCTGCAGTAAATGTGAACTCAAAGGCCAGAGCGGGTTGTTTTGCTCTGGTCTTGGGCTGTCTGGAAGTCCAAACAATGACGAAGAGGAGTCCGGAGGGGCCCCTGTTTCCACTGAGCCTGGACTAAGCATGCTGGCCTAGGCCAGTCTCTGTTCTCCAAGGTAAGCGATGAATTCAGGGCAGGGGATAAGACATACCCACAAGGGGTTAAGTTCCCTAAACCCTGCAGCGTGAGAACACGGTCCCATAAGCACACCTTTTTGCCCCGCCATTTAGAATTACCCGGACTGAGCAGCTCCTAACTCCCCACCCAACACCCACGGACTCCCTTCCACGCACATCCCAGCCCCTGCCCTGGACTTGTCAATGCGACCGACTCACTGCAATCAGCCGGGACCTCCCGAGAGGCTAGAGTGACTCGACTTTCACTTCCAACAGAGCCAGGCGGTTACGGCGGAGAAAAGGTGGTGGCCTCTTCCGAAGCCCCCGGCCACCAGCGCGAACGCCTGTCCCCCGCCGCTCAGCACGTGTGCAGATCCCACTGGGCGTCACATCGGCTTTGGAAGCTGTTGGCCATGTTGGCACAGCCCTCGCCACACAGGTTGGAAGTTGGCATCTCTTCCGGCCCTTGGGTCTTGGAGGGTCCTGGCCACTTGGGTCTCAGACTGCGGATTTTGAGCTTGGAATAGAATTTGGGGAAGGAGGGACTTGAGAAATAGTACAGCAGGGGATCCAGCATGCTGTTTATGTATGTGAGACTGAGGGTGACGTGGAGGGCCAGGTGCACAGAGGCGTCGCAGGCGCTGGCGGGCACCGTCCACAGGAAGTAGAGCCGGGCCGACACGCTGGGCAGGTAGCCGGTGACGAACACCACGACCACCACCAGGATGAACCAGGTGGCCCTCCTCATCCGGGACTGCCGGGCCAGCTGCTGCCTCTGCCGCAGGCGCCCCACGATCCGGACGGAGCAAAACAGGATGATGGCGAGCGGCAGGAAGAACTCCAGCTGGAACATGATGTCATGCCAGCCGTTGGCCGACTCCATGATGAAGCTCTCACAGGACGCGGCCCCCTCGTGCACGCACAGGCGACTCCCCAGCAGCAGGTGCACCGTCCCCACGAGGACCGAGGCCCAGAGGGCGCACACGATGCCAGCCGCGGTGCGGCGGGAGATGGCGTTCACCGCGTGGTGGGGGTGGACCACCTTGAAGTACCTGTCCACGGCCACCACCGTGAGGAAGACGATGCTCCCGGCCCTGTTCATGGCCAGCATGAAGAGCACCAGGCGGCAGCAGACGTCCCCGAAAGCCCAGCGCCGGTGTCGCCGGTAGTAGTCGGTCCGGAAGGGCAGGCACACCATGAGGAGGAAGTCGGCCACGGCCAGGTTGAAGAGGTAGATGGTGCTGGGCTTCCAGGTCTTCACGTGGAAGCAGAACCCGCACAGGGCGAGGCCGTTGCCCAGGACGCCGAGCACGAAGGCCAGGACGAGCAGCGGCGGCATCACCTGGGAGATGGGGTCCCCCTCGATGGCACAGCACGACCCGTTGTCCATGGCGGGCACAGGGCAAGCGGCCCATGTGCCGCAGAGGCACCGGTGCTCAGCGGAGCTGCCCTCTCTCCGACTCCAGCTCCCTGGGCTGCAGGCTCTGCACAGGGTCGGCGTGGGGTTGTGGATGCTGCCGCTGCGCCCGGGACAGAAACGCCCTCCAGCCGGGGAGTTCACCAGCCGAGGCTGCCACCCAGGCTGGGGACTGCGTGCAGTCGCGTGCGAGGGGTCACCCTGGAAGGTGGCCGCAGGCCCCGGGCAGATCGAAGCCGCAGAGCTGCCCTCGCCTCCAGCCCCAGCCTCGCTTCGGCTCCTCGGACTCCGCCTGTGCCGGGGAGCTCAGCTCGCCGCTGCCCAGGGGCTCGGGGAAAGCGTGTTTGTCCTCCCTCCTGCTGGAGAAACACAAACATTTCCTGCCGTCCTCCTGGGCCTCTGCCCTGCTTCCCTCCCCTAACCTTTGCCTGACTGCCCGGCCCCCTCTCCCTCGTCCCACGGGGCGCAGGCAGGAGGTACAGAGAGGGCCGGCGCTGCCCGGCAGCTTCCCGGGCCCTCCGAGGTCACGGGGGTCTGCGGAGGAGAGCAGTTGGCAAGGCCACGCTCACCCAGTGTCAGCAAAATCCTCCCAGGAGTCGCCTTGGTCCCCGACCCCCTGCTGTGTCTGCGTGCGGAGTGGCCTCTTGCGGGGCCAGCTCCCCGCTCAGCGGGGGCTTTGGTGGGGAGCATTTGGCCCTGAGGTCCCCGTTGGCCAAACCCCAGGACATGTGTGCTTTTCATTGTTTTGTGTACCGAGCCCACGGACCGCGGCGGATGCGGGCTGGGGAGTTGGTCAGGAGGCTGTCTAATCACAGGTAAAATCAGGCTGCAGGAAGAACGGGGACTTGGCTGTCTTTCCTGTCCTTTGGCCTTAGGGGTTACGTGTGTGTCCTGTGCCTTTTTGGCTGGGTTTAGGAAAGGGTGTGGGGGTGAGGAGGAGCGCGTGGAAAGAACGCGTTTGCTTTGCAGACATGGAATGAGACAGGAGTCTCCTGCCACGGCTGGGCTCTGGACCAGTCCCAAACTGTCCCCACTGCCCCGTCCTGTGGCGGGCCCCGACCTCCTCCCACCTGCACCATGGAAATCGGATTCCTGAGGGCTTCCCTTCCTCTCACCCGCTCCCTGGAGTCCTGGTCCTACAGTCGCATTTTTCTGAAGCACAGACGGGGTCGTAGCCCTTTCTCAGTAGGCGCCTTCAGGAGCTTCCCCCTGGTCCAGGGCCATGTCCGCGTGGAAAACCAATTGTTTGTTTGGGACTGCATGTTTTAAAAACCCAGACCATCGCATAAAAATCTGAATTTGCAACTTCTAGAAAGCTGGGAGGTCTGACCATGCAGCTGTCACTGCCATATGGGAGCAGTCAGCTGGAGCAGGAGTGGCTGCCCCCTTCAGGCCGGGAGTGAATCCTGCATTTTGCCACAATCCCCACCGCTCCCTATTACATTACATCTGGCTAGCTTTCCTGGTGTACACGCCTGGTCTCTGCGGGATTTTGCGTTGGTCACCTTTCTCAGGTTGATATGCAGGGTCCCTCACGGTGGTTCCTAGCCTGCCTCCGCAGTGTCATTCTGCCCCTTTCCTCCTCACTCATTAGTTTCATAACTTATGGTGCATAAATATGTCCATCAAACACCCACACCTAGCTCCCCCACTAATCCAGGAGGCCCTCGAAGACCAAGCCCCTGTCCTTGGCAGGAGGGACATACCTAAGGATGGGGATGAATCACTCTTACTTTAAAAAATTATTTATCTTCATTTTATTTGAAAGATATATATATATATATATATATAGAGAGAGAGAGAGAGAGAGAGAGAGAGAGAGATCACCCATCTTCTGATCCACTCCTCAAATGCCCACAACAGCCAGGGCTGGGCCAGGTGGAAGCCAGGACCCAGTAACTTAACCCCACCTCACTGCCTGGGCCACCACCGGCCGCCCCCCAGGACGCACATTAGCGGGGAGCTGGACTGGAGCAGAGTGGCCAGGACTCAACTGTCCCCGGTACAGGATGCCGGCGTCTGAACTGGCGACTTAACTGCTGCACCACACACCCACCCAGGCTCACTCCGGCTTTCCCGAGAGCTTGTCGCAGCCGCCTTCACTCTGTGGGCCTTTGTGACTGTTGGGAGGGTGCGCCACGGGGGGCTGTGGCACCCCCAGGAGAGGCTGAGTGTTGGCCTGAACGCCTGGCCGTGCTCGGGCCGACTTTTCCAGCAGATGTAAATATCTTTCACCCTCTGTGCTGGGTTCCTGGCAGGCGCAACACTTCCCCCTTTCCCACGTGACCAACACCTGCCTCTCTTTGGCACATCCTCTTTGTCTTGTCACATCATCTTCCTCTCGTTGATGGGAGAACGGACTGGAAGTCACTGTGGAGGAGATCGGCTTGTCTTTCTCTGAGAGTCGACTGCTTTTCCCATGTACGACCTGGTCTTCTTCCACCCAGGGGCCTCCTCTTGTGGGAAACAGCCTCTCTCGTGGATGACCTGTCCCAGGGCATGCCCTGGGCTGCATTTCTTTGGGCATCAAATTAAAATACTAAAAAAATGGGCTCGAAATGGCCCCAAGACCTAAATGGAAGAGCTAAACCATAAAACTCCTAGAAGAAAACCTAAGGGGCAGGTGTTCATGATGTGGGAGGTGACTCCGCTTTCGTGGCCGTGGTACCAAAAGCACAGACAGCAAAGTGGAAAACTAGATGATTGGGCTTCATCAAAGGGAACATCTGTGTGCGGGCAAGCACACTCACTGTCAGCAGAGTGAGAAGGCGGCCACTGGACTGGGGCAAACCTTTGCAAGCTGTGGATCTGCTAAGCAGTTAAGGATACATAAGGAGCTTACAGCACGAGGACAAAAGTCAAGCAGTGCACCTGTAAATGTCTGTCCGAGTCTTCTGAACAGAATACTAATTAAATGTTCATGACCTCCATGAGCTATTACTCACTCACATCAGGATGTTCTTACGAGAGACAGAAGCGGTAAGAATCGGAAAGTAGGAAGTACAGCCCTCTGCACGGCTGGCGGCGCTATCCAATGGAGCAGCCACTGTGCAAGACACAGCCGGTGATTCCTCGAAAACATTGAGTGTAGAGACACCACGAGGCCCAGAAACCCCATTTCCCTAAGGAATGGAAAGCAGGCACTCAGGAGGTATTTGCGCCCCCGATCGGTCGCAGCGTATTCACGAGAGCCACAGTGGTGCCATCCGCGGTTGAATGGAGAAAGAACGTGCTCTCAGACACTCGGGATGCTGGTCAGCCTTCGAGAGAGGGAGTCTGACACGTGCTGCAGCGTGGGTGAGGCTCGAGCCTGCTCTGCCAAGTGAATGAGCCAGCCACAGACGGACAAGAGCGCGTCACCGCACAGGAGGCGCCAGAGCTGGCGAAGCCACGGCGACAGCGGCAGGACAGTGGGCTCCAGGGCGCGGGGCACAGCGCTTGGGGAGGTAGTGTTTTGTGGGGATAGACAAAGTTCCGGAGATGGATGCTGGTGAGGGTCGCACAAAAATGTGTGTGTGAGGCGCTGGCGCTGTGGCGTACTAGGTTAAATTTCTGCCTCTGCCGGCACCACGTGTGTCCTGGCTGCTCCTCTTCCAATCCAGCTCCCTGCTAATGCACCTGGGAAAGCAGTGGAAGATGGCCCGAGTGCTGGGCCCCTGCACCCACGTGGGAGACCCGGAAGAAGCTCCTGGCTCCTGGCTCCTTCGGATCGGCCCAGCTCCAGCCGTTGTGGCCGTTTGAGGAGTGAACAAGAGAGCGGAAGCTCCCTCTGGCTCTCCCTCTCTGTCTGTGACTCCGCCTCTCAAAGAAAAAAATCTTTTTTGAAGATGTATATGATTAACACCACTGAACTGTGCAATTAAACTTGGTTAACGTGCAAAAGAGACGATTGATGGCGGTCACAGAAATGCCTGTGACAGATTGTTGAGTAACCAAACCATTTGCTGGCCGCCTATGCAGTCCAACTCATTTCTGCACAATTACATTTCTACACGTGTTTCTACAAACAGGGTGAGTGCTGGACGGAGGGAGCCAAGAGGTGGATGACGAGTGTCTCGGGGGTGACCGGCGCTCAGGAATTATTTATTTATTCATTTATTTTTACTCCTTGCATTTTCTACCAGCTGAACTGAAAAAGACGAAAGCAGGAAAATACGAATGGGAAATACAACTGGCCTTGGGGGTGCATTGCTGGGCTTGACCGTGCTGTCTCCCTGCCTCGCTGTGAGTCGGACCCTTTAAACTTCTTCCTCACGATATTAAGCTCTTTGAGTGCTTAGCCTCGTCTTTGTTACCCAGCACCCCGGGCTCCACGGCAGCTGCCGCATCTGAGCGCCTACATTCACGTGCCAGCTCCACTTCCCACACAGCTTCCTGCGAACGAGCAACCGGGGGCTGCCAGGTGATGGCCTGTCCCCAGCTCCAGACTCACGGCTTCCGCCTGGCCTAGCCCTGGCTCCTACGGCCATCTGGGGAGTGAATGAGTGACTGGAAGACCTCTATGTGTGGATCTCTGTCTGTTTCTCTAATCGCCTTACTGGGTTTTAAAGAAAAAAAATTGAAGTCCACGTCACATCAGGGAACTACGAGGGACAATACTGGCCATGTTGAGTGGTGCTGCTGCTCGGGGGACCTTGAACTCTGCGGACGAAGGCCCACCTGGGAGGAGGGGCTTTGAGAAGGGGGGCAGGTGAGAAAGAAGGGGGAGGACCCAGGATTTGCCCCCCACTTCTCCTGGAGCCACACCCCCCGTTAGGTCCCCTGGGAGCTCTGGGCCGAGCCCTCAACTCCTCAAGTGCCGACGCTGAAAACAGCTTCTCCTCTTGCTGCTCGCCAGACGGAGGGAGCGGTCAGCACCGGCCACCACGCCACTCACGCGTCGCTCGGTTCCTCTTCTTCCTGGCTCAGCCACAAGCCACAGACTGCATCCCGAGTCCCTCCCTGCCCACGGTGCCACCCCTCTGGCTGGCCCAACGTTCTGAAGGGAAACCCCCGGATTCTGCCTGGCCCCTGCCTCCAGCCTTTCTCCCCTCCCATCCATTCTCCAGAACCCACACCCAGCGCCGGGCCGCACCTGCTGCAAGTCCAGTGCCTTCCACAAGGAGGCGCCACCGTCGCCGAGGCCCTGGGCAGGCCCCTCAGCCTGGGAAGCCCTCAGCCTAGACTGGCCTCTTCCAGAGCCTCCTGCAAGCTGGAAGTGGCCTGCGATACCACACAGCTGCCCAGTCTTTCCCTGAAGGGTTTCACATTGGCTACTAGAGAAAACCTTTCATTCCTTTTTAATTAATTTATTTGAAAAGCAGAGAGAGGGGGAGAGTTCCTGTACACGTCCCAGACGCAACAGCTGAGGCTGGGCCAGGCCAAGGCCAGGAGCTAAGAACTGCATGGGTGGCAAGGACCCAACTATTTGAGCCGCCACCTGGCGCCTCCCGGGTGTGCATTAGCAGGAAGCTGGAATCAGAGGCAGAGCTGGGGCTGGAACCCAGGCCCTCCCCAGTTGAGCCCAAAGCCTGCCCTAGCTTATCAAGCTCTTGAAATGCATCTAGGGGGAACTGAGTT